CTATCAATATTTCTCTTAAAATCCACAATCCCAATATTATGACGAAGTACAATTTTTATATATAAAAGGGTTGTCATTGCAGGTGTGATCATTGCAAGCTATAATTCTCAAACATTACCCATGTTCTTGATAGTTTCTCGCAAAAATGGAGCTATCTCATCCAATGATTTTCCTGCCTCAGCCATGGCACCTGCTATCTGTAGAAAACAAACCAGCAAGAAACCGTCTTAGGTATGTGACAAACCAACCAAGGGGAAAGAACAAATCTGAGTTTTATTGCCTGCCAGGTTACTGTAGGTAGAAGATCATGCCCACCCTTACCCTAATAGAAGGGTAACCTGAACTATTCAGTTCTTAAATTCAGGTCGATGGAAGGATATTGGTAAGATATGCTATACAGAAAATTAATTCAAGTCATTTGTCTGATCATTCTGTTGCACATGGAAATTGAGGGGGTTCCAACATGCATTCCACCTCTTTTTCTGTCAATATGTCATGAAGCTGTCTATCTTTGGGTACAGACATACTTTAAAAGACATACGGTAATTCGCTGGGATGCACAACATGGGATTAACATCTTTCAAAGGTAATATACAGCAATTTGCTGGGATGCACAACATGGGATTAATATCTTTAAAAGGTAATACACTCAGTAATTTGCTGGGATGCACAACATGGGATTAACATCTTTAAAAGGTAATATACAGTAATTTGCAGGGATGCACAACATGGGATTAACATCTTTCAAAGGTAATATACAGTAATTTGCTGGGATGCACAACATGGGATTAACATCTTTAAAAGGTAAATATATACAGTAATTTGCTGGGATGCACAACATGGGATTAACATCTTTAAAAGATAATATACAGTAATTTGCAGGGATGCACAACATAGGATTAACATCTTTCAAAGGTAATTATATACAGTAATTTGCTGGGGTGCACAATTTGGGGGGGGGGGGGGGGTGTAAACTAAGAGGGGTGAGCATCACCATGTGCTCTGTCCATGATAAAACTATAAACTGCTGTACACCATACATTGGGTACATGCAATTGTTGCTGAGGTTCAAAAACAGGGGCGGACCTAGCCTCATCTGCAAGGAGGGGTGCAGGTTTTCTGTGTGTTACCATTACCTCAACATTACCATTATTTGAGATGGCTGAATCTGCATGTTCACTGTTCTGTTACGTTTTACATTTTCTTTTGTTTATAAAGTTTATATTGTATGCGTTTAAGGCGACTTCTCTAGAGGAATGCTAGACATATCACTAGTAAGGGTGTGCATCCCCCTGTACCCACACAGTAAATCCACCCTTGTTAAAAAATTGGGGTATACCCCAACCTCATACTGTATATGGTATTGTGTACTCGGAGTACAAAGTAACATTACTCTATTTATATTTATATTTGACTTACTTTATGAATAATGACTGTGCCACACAGGCCTCTCCTGCCTGCCGTCTTATCAACACTCGATAGAGCACAATCTTCATTCACAATAACCATATCAACTTTTATACCTTCCTGTTTCGCTCGTTCAGCTGCCATACCAAAATTCAACCTGTTGCGAATGTATTGGTTAACAACATGGTCAACAATTAAGAACAAGTGGGATTATAAATAACATCATACTGGATTCTCAGGGTCGATATACTAAAATTTAAATCATGGTATCCCAGTTGGAATTACTAAAAGATCAAATTTCCGACACTGATACATATGTCAACCCTTGTCAGACGACCCTGGAAAAGATATTTTAAGGGCTGGTTATTGGCTTATGACCAACAACCCAAGAGCTTCTAACAATTAAAATTCTTATATACTGACTAGTTGGTATCAAAGTTCAATTTTTCTGTTTGCCGATTGGTCAAAACTGTATGACTGTGTCATGTGCCGGTCCACAAAAAATAATGTTCGGCAACCGGTCCACAATGAAACATTTATTGACCGGTCAATGATAAAATTGGTGCAATATGCATGCGTGTCAACCATGAAGTTTCAATTGAAAGTTCATTTTTTAAACTTTTTACTAAAGCATTAATTTACGGCGTTCCATAATTATCCAGTGTTGGTTTCAAATTAAGTTCACTTCAATAACCAGTGAATTATTCATACTTTGACACTTAAAGTATATACTATATAACAAAACACTTATTTACAGAAACCTCGGGCAAGCACAGTGTACGTGTTCTGTGGCTCCTCGACCGCTGTTGTTGCTCTTGGCTTCGCCTCGGGCAACAACAGCAGTCTCCGGTCCACAAAACACACTGTTTCCCTCGGTCTCAGTAAATAAGTACCGGTAATAAAATAATTATAGGAGCTTCTAGCAATAAAAAACAGATATGTCAGCTAATTTCTACTAAATAATACCTGTCACCAGTGTAGTTCTTAACGATGAGCAACACTCCACCTCGATTACTAGCACCAACGGCACATATGGTAGCAAGAATTGATTTGGTTGGTGGTGATGTGAATACAGCTCCTGCGATGGCAGCACTCAACCCACCATGACCTAAGAATGATGAAACAGGATTAATTAAAGGAACATATATTATCAAGATTGTGTCACTGCATCTCACTCAATTCAATAGTTGAAGGATCTTGTAGATGGAAATTATCGAGTGGAAATTTATATTCATTTATTAGACCTAACCAGGAACAGAAGCGAAAAATGCAACCTTACTACAGGTCCCAGGCAGGAATCAAACCTGCCATTTAGTGCTGTGCGCCGGAGTTGCCGGAGTTGCCGGAGTTCTGCCGGAGCTCCGGCGGTTTTTCCGACGCCGGAGCCGGAGCAGAATTTTGTATGCCGGAGCCCGGAGCCGGAGTTACGTATTCCCAGCTCCGGCAAAATGACAAGAAAACAATATAAATGAGACAAATGTCAAACGATTGTTAGTTACTGCAAACTGCCAATTGCTGTTAATGAATTCATCATAGACTCAAACTGCCACAGCCCACGGGAACAGCGTCGAAAAGCTGTAATACGATCGCAACTTACAAACGTCATGCTTTCATGAAGCCATCTGACTTAGCATTACATACTGTAGTCTGTGTATTCATGCCTTGTAGGTAACGAAAAAGTACAAAACAAATAAATATCTACCTTTTGAAAATGGCAGAGTATTTTGTTTGCGTGCGAACAATTGCGCTGTGGAGTCTGAGAGTGTTAGCGTCATGCCTCGCGTCATGCCTCGTGTCAAAGATTTTTCGAGGCTGGTTTCCATATAGATATTTTCTGCGTGGTTAAGTCTTAAGTGTTTTAACTGTTTTGTTTCCTGAATTATGTTATCTGATAATTAGGAAGCGCGAAAAGGGTTATTCATAATAATATTAATAAATGTTCTCTGATCGTAAAATATTTATTTAATATTTTATGATGTGGCCGGAGCCGGAGCCGCAGCTCAGAGCTGTAATTCGGCCGGAGCCGGAGATGAAAAACCGGAGTTTGCACAGCATTACAGCCATTCCGGTGCAGCACTAATTTAGCCTAATTCTAGAACCCGAAGTCGCCAATCATGAATATCTGCTGCATAGCTGATACTTGCAGACAAATAAATTCTTATGAATTTTTATGCTGGTATAAAGTGCAAAACAAATTAAAATCTTTGAAATTGGTTCACATGGTACCCAAGCTGGCCCAGTTCAGGGAATCGAGAGCCAGCCTAGCTTTTTCAATATTTCCTACTAAATTTAATTTTATGTTTATATAGGAACAAGGCTGGCTTTCTTAAGCGAGATTCTGCCTCAAATGACCCAAGATCTACGGTGACCTCTGGCTGGCAAATAATGCAATTACCTAGGCTGGCCATTGGCAGAAATCTTGGTGGGGGGTGGCCACCCCCCTCCCCCCTCCCCCCTTATGACAAGGGGCTTGAGGCTGGCTAGCTCGCCTAAGCAGGCTGGGTGTTATTTCTCTATTCACACACATATTGTTGTAAATAAGATTTTCTCAACAGATTTCAACAATGAAAGGTCTCTGAATGATTCTCATTCTGTGAAGTTTGCCCACAAGTACAAATTTCATGTTTGTGAGCAAATATACTTATATTATACTATTTATAGCGGTGAGACCAGTGGTTTGTTTTGGCGAGCCAGCCCGCCTTAAGATCACAGGATAAAATCAGCTCGGATAAACAAACTAGCTCAGGTACCCGGTTCCATATACTGGGCCATTCCATTTAATATAAGCACCCCCCCCCCCATTGAGGGGTCCCTTCATAATCCCCTTAGGATATAAAAACTTTGGAACCCCCTTGGATGCAATTTTTGGATGTTACCCCATGGATTTCTTTATACCCCCTTTAGGATATCGTTTTTACCCCCTTGGATATCACTAAAACACATAATTTTTGCTATTTTGGGGAAAATTTCTTATGCTACCCTCTAGGAAAATTTAAAGTAAACCACCCTATAGGATATCCAGACCCCTCATTAAATGGAATGGTCCACTGGGCACTGACTACTGAACACCCCCTATAATTAAGATTCAGGTTACAAGTTTTTAAACCTATAATCCCTCGCTTTTATCAATACTGTTTCTAAAATAAAAATGGATGTCCCTAAGCATCGTGCAACAAACATGCACGGTAAATACTATATACCTACAAAGCCACCATGCGCTGGTTCATGTCCACTACCACCACCAGATATCAACGCAACCAAACCTCGCTCGCGTACACATTGAATACCTCTTCGTATTAGAACGCGATGTCCTTTCAGTAACTGCACATTCTTGTTCGATAGAACTACACCATCTAAAGCCTCGTCAACTACAGCTGATGGATTGTTAATGATTTTTTTGCTCGGGTATTCTGTTTGCGCCGACATATTTATTGCCGGTTTATTGCCCAAGACTTAGTTTGTATTTTGTAATTTATTAGCGGATAAAGATCCTACCAGACTTCCGATCCGGCAGTGCAGGTTGCAGGTTGCAGGTTGGAATTTTGCAGGTTGGAATTTTGCAGGTTGCGAATTTTGCAGGTTGGAATTTTGCAGGTTGGGGATTTGCAGGTTGGAATTTTGCAGGTTGCCAGGAACTTTGCAGGTTGATAATGCATTTATGCAAACTTAGAATTACACCACATTTTAGTATTCTAGTATAATTTAGTTGTGAAATTATTGCAGTCTGACTCCTTTTCGGCGCCTCTGCTCTAAGGCTAGTGCCCCGTGAAAATATTCAAAATGACTAGCTGATTGGCTTGGACCTACAGGGAAACGAATGTTTTGATTGTTGCGAGGTGCCTACATAACGTGGCTGCGTTTATACTAGAATGTTTTTAAAATTAGTTAATTAACTAACTCTCGAGTAATGATACGGTAATTAAGGGCTTGAGTGGACTTCTCATAAGTGGGTGCAGAGGAGAGACACCTCATTCAGGCATTTTCTGAACTGCCACACGTCATGTAAACACGTAAAAATGCACAAGTTTGTTACAAGTCTGTTATAATTTATAATTTATTTATTACACTTTGCCTCAACATGCAGGCTTGGAAACCGCAACAGCTACGGCCATTTACTGCGGATTCATTATGATACATCAGGTTTAATATCAACTAACAATAAATAACGATTACAATTACCAACAAACCATACAAACATATACAGACATTAACAACATTAAAGCTACGTTTACACACCGCGATCCACCGCGTACGATTCACCCTCTGGCGTATGTCATATGATAAACACGCGTAAGCTGGCTACATTTGTAATTTATGAATTATGGCGCCAGCACTCATTTTAATGGCGCAAAAATACAAACCGCACACGAAAAATCGCAGCGCGTAAACGTACCTTTTTTATAAAGACATACAGACATTACTGAAACAGCACATATAGGAAGAGACAGAAGACTGCGGGCAGAGCCACACTTAACACAAATTGACTTCCATGTCCGTGCATCTTCAGAGTCATAAGTTGATTTTAAAGCACTCTGGTAATATTCCTTCAACAAGTGTTTGAAGGAAGACAGAGACGTTGTGTTCCTTCGTATTTCCTTTGGCAGAACATTCCACACCCTTTTCGATCGAACCAAGTATGATCTAGCGTAAGTAGAAGTTCGACACAGCTGTTCCTCTAACATAATGGCGCCGTCGACTCGGCTGCTAGATCTTGTCAGTTGACCTTCCTGGTTCTTTGACTGTCGGTAAAAGTGCTTTCTCTGTGTAAGTTATGTTGTTAGTAAGTTTGAATAGTAGTACCATGTCCAAATATTCATGCCAATAGGAGAGTGGAAGTAAATCTGTCTGGATAAGTCGTTCTTTGTAAGTGTCAGGACAGCGATATGGTAGTTGAAGTATGTATTTAGTGGCACGCCGTTGAATTCGTTCTATTTCTTTGATCAGTTCCACAGTTTGATGGGCCCAGACCTGAGACAAATAAGCAAGCTGTACACGAACAACAGTCAGATAGATTGTTCTCCTAGTTCTGACACTTCCTATGCGTTGTGTTGTTCTCTTTGCATAGCCCAAGATCTTGTTGGCTTTAGCACTTTGCGTCTGCACATGTTTCTTCCACGTCAGGTCATACGATATCCAGACTCCAAGGTCTTTTTCATGACTGCAATGTTCTAGATCTGAGTCGCCCATGGTGTAAGAGGTCTTGATTGGCTTTCTTTTTCGCGATATGGTCTGAACTTTGCATTTGGTTGGGTTAAACGTAAGATCAGTGGAACAAGACCACTGCACTAGGCTATTCAAGTCCTCCTGCATGTGGATGTTGTCAGTTATACTTGAAATTCGCTTGAAGATTTTCGTGTCGTCTGCGAAGGCAGCTATCGATGATGAGGAGATTTTGTCAGGTAAATCATTGACGTACAACAGAAATAGTACAGGACCGAGGATAGAACCTTGGGGAACACCAGACGTTACCGGCAAGGTGGGTGAAGTTGCTCCAAGGACGGTCACCTGTTGACGGCGATGATAAAGGTATGATTTGAACCATCTGAGGAGGTTGGTCTTGAATCCTAGATGGCGTAGTTTTTCTATCAATATTTCGTGGTTCACCCTGTCAAATGCCTTGGACATATCTAGGTATATGACGTCTATCTGCTCTCCTCGGTCGAGCAATCTTCCAATCTTATCTAGAACGCCAATGAGTTGTGAAGTGCACGATTTGCCCGGTACAAAACCATGTTGACACTCGTTGAGGATCACACGTAAATGTTCCCAGATGTGTTTCAACACACATCTCTCCAGCAATTTAGACACAATACATAGAAGAGAGATTGGTCTGTAATTTTGTACATCTTCTTTCTCTCCCCTCTTGTAGACAGGAACCACGTTTGCTAATTTCCACTCGTCAGGAACTACCCCGGAATTGATGGATTTATTAAACAGCAGAGTTAGCGATGGCGCAATTTGTTGTGCTGTTTCTTTAAGAATGCGACTGGGAATACCATCTGGTCCAAGTGCTTTATCTGGGTCTAGAGCTCTTAATGCGGAGAAGACTTCTAACTCAGATAGGGTTATTTCTAGTTCTTCGATATTAGGTTCGTCGTTCTTATTTGTGCCCTCTTGGTCATTCTGCGTATTCTGGTGAATACTGAATACCGAGACGAAGTAACTATTATAAAGTTCAGCGATGGTTTTTGAACTGTCCGCAATTTTTTGTTCGTTTTCACTCGTCCACGAAACAGTCTGCGGGATCATGCGTGTTTTGGAATTTAGTTTAATCCGATCCCCTGACTATCTGCTCCTACATGTTGGAACTAATGACTTAAAGCGACAAACCCCTCAACAAATAGCTGGGTCAATTTCTACGCTTTGCCAGGAAATCGTAAAGGAATCACCAAATACTAAGATTGTATTATCGAAAGTTATAACCAGATCTGATGACTCAAGCCTAGATTCCAAAATCAAAGAACTAAATTGCAAACTATCACAGGTATGCCATAATAATAAATGGGGTGTATTAAATCATACCAATATTACAGCAGATCACTTGAATCCTTATGGTCTCCACTTAAATAAGCAAGGAACAGCCAAGTTGGCCAAGAATATTATAGATCATTTCAAAAACTTAAATTGACAAACGAACAATCAAAATAATATTACTCCCTCAGATGATAGTAATATACAGAGGTTTAATTCCATTGAAAACGATAATGCCAATAATGCTAATAGCCCTCTGGGTAATGATGTAAATAGACAACAATCACACGCTAGCGGCTCTCTTTTTCCTAAACTTAAAGGTTTTAAAGTATGTCATCTAAATATAGCAAGTTTGATAAAACACTATGATGAGCTTTTGCTATATATGCAAAACAAACTTTTTGACATTATAACGCTTAACGAAACTAGACTAGATAGTAGCGTACTAAACGGTGAAATTGAAATTCCTGGTTATGATATTGTTAGGCGTGATCGAAAGAGAAGCGGAGGAGGTGTTGCAATGTATATTAGAAGCAACATACCATACACCATTCGCAAAGACCTCTTCCCTGATAATTTAGAGTTGATTTGCGTAGAAATTAAAAAATTTAAAAGTAAACCTCAGTTAATTACAACATGGTACAGACCACCAAATTCCAGCGTTGAGCTGTTTAGCGAATTTGAAAATTTTTTAAAACTACTTGAGGACGAAAATAAAGAAATTATCATAACCGGAGATCTCAATTGTAACATTCTTGAGCAGAACAAAAGTTTGCCTACTTCTAAACTAGTTGATCTGATTGACATTTATCAATTACAGCAACACATACAGTGTCCCACGAGAATTACTAGTACAACAGCATCACTACTGGATGTTATCCTCACTTATTATGGTGATGATAAAATATTAGATACAGGAGTAATACACCTTGGTATCAGTGATCATAGTCTTGTTTATCTGTGTCGAAAGCTCAGCATTCCTAAGGCGCCACCAAAAACTGTCTTTACTAGGCATTATAAAAATTATAATGTTAACCAGTTTAACAACGATCTAAGTGAGGTTTTTAGTTTGCCCTTGGATTCAGCTATTTTAACTGACCCAAATGCCTTATGGAACGATTTTAAAAATAAGTTTTTGAGCGTCGCAGATAAACATGCACCAATCAGACAACGTCGTGTCAAGAGTGAATATAAACCGTGGCTGACAAATGAAATTAAGCAAATGAGCTATCGTAGGGATTACCTTAAAAAGCAATCGATTAAATTAAGATCTGCGTATTATGATAAGGCTTACAAGAGATGTAAAAACAAGTTAAATAATCTCATAAAAGAAACTAAACAAGAATACTTTAGAGATAAACTAAGCAATGCTAAAAATAGCAAAGAAAGTTGGCGAACTATTAACAAATTATTAAACAAAAAGCCTAAAACTTCAGAGGTTAAAGAACTAGATATAAATGGCCAACTTATTACTGACGATGATAAAATTGCAGATGCCTTCAATCAATATTTTTCCACAATTGGCAGTACGTTGTCTGACAAGATCACAGGTAACTGCACTGATCCAATGAACTTTGTGACTCCTCTTGATGGTAGTATATTCAACTTTACAAGCATTACACTCCAAGAAACAATAGATGCACTCAATGAAATTAAAACTAAGAAATCTCCAAGGCTTGATGGTATTAGTATAAGGTTACTAAAAGATGCATCTAACATTGTGGCAGGACCACTAGTGAACATATTCAATGTATCCCTTCAAAGAGCAATTTTCCCTAATGATTGGAAATTAGCAAAGGTGACCCCCATATTTAAAGAAGGAAATAAGGCAGACTGTGAAAATTATAGGCCAATATCTGTTATTTCAGCTGTAGCTAAACTTTTCGAAAAACTGGTATACCTGCAGCTAGGTTCATTCTTGAGGTTGAATGGCATTCTTGTGGAACAGCAGTCTGGCTTCCGTCATCAACATTCTACTGAAACTGCACTGCTTAGTTCTACAAATGAATGGTTGTTCAATATGGACAGAGGTTTACTTAGCGGAGTTTTATTTCTAGACCTCAAAAAAGCTTTTGATACTGTCGACCATCATATTCTTTTATCAAAGCTTGAATTATATGGTATTAAAGGAACTAGCCTGAAATGGTTCGAATCATACGTTTCTGGTCGAAGCCAAATATGCTCTGTGAATAGCAAGATGTCAGCTGTTAGACAAATAAAATGCGGGATACCTCAGGGCTCTAACCTTGGGCCTATTTTATTCCTATTGTACATAAATGATCTTCCTAACTGTTTAGAGACAACTAAAGCAAATATGAAAAAGAGTGAATTTATGATAATAGGATCAAGACGTCGCTTAGCTTCAATTGAAAATAGCCCAGTACTAACATTAGGGGGAAACAACATTAAGCGAGTTTACCAAAAAAAGTCACTAGGCATGATCCTTGACGACCAGCTAAAATGGAATAAACATAATGAAATGCAATGTAAAACAATTTCAAATAATATCGCCCTGCTGAAAAGAGCAAAATTGTTTGTCAATAGAGATAGTCTAATAAAAATCTACAATGCCTTAGTGTGGCCTCATTTCAATTATTGTTCAACAATCTGGAATGATGGATGTTGTTCGATAATTGATAAATTGTTTATACTGCAGAAGAGAGCAGCGCGTGTGATAACAGGGGACACATACGAAGTTCGTTCCATGCAAACGCTAGATAGTCTTAATTGGCTTCCAATAGAAGAACTTCTAAAACAACGACAGTTAATAATGACATTGAAAGTACTAACTGGTCGATTACCTCGATACCTTGAAAAATTGTTTTCAGTAAGTCAAAATGACAATTACAATCTAAGAAGCAATCAAATTAAATTGAACCTACCCAAACCTAAGACAAATTTTCTCAAACGAAGTTTCTCCTATAGAGCTGCTAAGTCCTGGAACGAACTTCCAAGTGAAACTATTGAAAATTATAACAATCTTTCAATTTTGTTGTTTAAACGGCAATTACTTAATTCATCCGTATCAATTCATTGTAAATAGTTATATTCTTTTTGTCCTTTTTATATTATTGTTGTAAACACACGGCCCTTTGAAAACCAGCGCTGTAAATATTATCTGCTGAACAGGCTACCGTGTTTAAATAATTTTATTAAAGATTAAAGATTAAAGACTATCAAAGAAGCGTTGCCAACTTTCTTTAAGATTCGAAGGAGTTTGACTCGGGCGCGAAGGTTCTTGAATTTTTCTTGAAGGTAATTGGATGGAGATCGAGCCAGTTTGCGCCGAACCGTTTCTTTTTTCTTCAGTAAATGCCGAATTTCACTGGTAAGCCATGGGTCGTTTCGTCCAGATTTTGCTCTTTTCATCGGGACAAAGTCCGCAACAATGTTCAGGAATGCGTTTTTCCACAAGACCCAGGCTTGATTGATGTCTTCAACTTCCGAGGTCACGTCGGACAGATTTTGCGATTCAATAGCAGATCGTAGTCCGTGAAAATCAGCATTTTGATAGTCGTAAACCATTCTGTTCGTTTTCGGTGGTCTAGCAGGGTTGACTTTCAATTTCCAACAAAAGGACGTTGTGGTCAGTGACTATTCCAGATGACTGTGGTGTAAGGACTTCTTTTACTTTTACTTTATCAGGTAGACTTGTAATTAACAGGTCCAGCACGTTGTTTCCTCTAGTAGGAGTTGTATTTATCTGAGATAGTTGTGAATGCGAGTTCGTGAGAATATCAACAGCTACAGTTTCAAGATTGTGATTTATTTGAACGTCGCGAATAGATTTAAAAGTTTCGCTTTTTACTGCCACAAGTACACCGCCACCTCTGCTGTCTCGGTCTTTTCGGAATATTTCATAGCGCTCGTTCAGTTCAATCTCACTGTTTAGAATATCACTACTCAGCCATGTTTCATTCACACACACAATGTCACTGTCCTCTGAATAAACCAGATCTTGAAAACGGTGGATGTTATTGTTTATTTCCGTACCTTGTTTGTGTAGACTTTTTAAACTTCTAGCATTAGTTAGAAGATATTTCAAAGGCATTCTGGTATTCAGATTTGAATTAAACCGACTAGGACCTGGGTTTGTCGCTATGTCGCCAGCAAGGAGAATAAGTAGCACAGCGTGAGAACATTTGCGAGATATGTGAACTGCTCCAGTCCGTAACGATGTTTGTCGGGAAGAGCGAACTTTCGTAACTTTCTATCACGCGTAGAAGCCCAGATAAAACACAGTTTGTCTGGTAAGATGGCAAGTTCCGAGGAAATAAGAAAGTATTTTCCAGTAGCATTTTCGATAATGTTCACAGCAGGTTTAGATCTTGTTGACAGCCAGAAAGACACCACGAGGCACACAGTCCAAAATTATGCTACTTTGGCGAAAGTTTGGTGGGTTTTACTATGCATTTTCATTCGTATTTTCCCAAACGCTATAATTAAGACACTAATTATTCATATAATTGTTCCAGTATATGACCACAGATGAGGTAAGTACAGATGTGAATCTCCTGTGAAATTGCCGATTGTTTTGTGTCACACGGAATTCTCACTTCCGGCGAGCGCTGGCAAGTGTCGTTCTGAAATTTAATACGGAAAGAGATAGGAAAACGCCGTTCGAAAGACGAAAAATTGTTTTTTTAAAAAGTCTACGCTACCGACGGCTATTTTTGGAATTAATTCTTCAAGAGTAACGGTAAGCGATCACTTTTATTGATTTCTTTTTATTAAAAGTGTTAATATAACATTTTATTTAGCAAAAGTTTGTTTTTTTCCCTATCTACTTCTTATTAAAATCGTGAAATACACTTGCTGGGAATTTTAGATGCTCGTGTATAAATAACAAAACAGCGAATGATATAAATGCCTCAAAACATAACTCTCGCATAAAAAAAAATGAATACTTCTATAATATGTATAGTTTTATTCCCCTGCATTATCAAAATTTAATAAAATAGTGAATTAATACAATTTTAAAGTTTATTTAATCCGTGTGACACATTTTCACAGGAGATTCACATCTGTATTACCTCATCTGTGATATGACCGCAATTCCGCACGCGCTCGAGTCGAACACAGTTCGTAAAATCGTTTTCTGAATCACGCGCGCAAGCGTATCACGTAATCGTATGCGCACGCCAAATTTAACCGTCCAGCTTGCGCGTGCTCATAAACCAGTTGTAAAATCTCTTGCAATTTGGAAAATAATTCAACAAAATACAGAGCAATATTTAAAATTTTACCGCACCAACTTCACTTTCCCAAAGATAAACACTTTATCCACAATTCTTTTATAAATTCATGGATAATAAAATAAATGGATAGGACTCTAGCTGACGTAAGCAAAAACAACCTAGTTGCAATCTGTGACGTCACGCGTATTGCAAAGTTCTCGGCATTTTTGTTGTTTCGCTATACTTTCCACTTTAAAAGAGTAATATTGATTTAATGATTTAATGATTTAATAATGTTCGACAACTACTAAATTTAAATTTTAACAATGTAGTGCCAGGATACTCGCCACAGTGTCCCCAATTACGGCGAGTCCTTAATAATTACATCTAAATCACGTTAATATTAGTATTGAATAATCTAATAACAGACAACTGACATTACGCTTAACAAAACATAACATACAACAAAACATAACATACATGCAACTAGCAACATCTTAAAACACCGTCCAGGGACCTCGCCCTTCTACATTTAACACATATCGACTTCCATGTGCGTGGATCGTCACAATTGTATATTTTGGATAGCGCGTGTTCGTAATATGTCTTAAGTTTTGATTTAAAGGTATTCAGACCAATATCTCTGTGACGAAGATCACAGCCCAAAATGTTCCATGTTTTACACGCTCTAATGAAATAAGAAGTCTGGAAGGTCACCGTACTGACAAATGGTATTGAAAATTTATATACGTTCTCATTTGTTTCGCTCCTCGTTATTCCAGAACCAGCCATTGTTGGTCGAGCACTGTCATTGATATATGTGTAGCCATTGATTATTTTGTAGAGTAGAACTAAATCAAAATATTCGTGCCAATAAGTTAAAGGAAGTAAGTCGAGTTGAAGTAGTCTTGTTGTATATGGAACGTTGGTGATAAAACCGAGATTTAAAATGTATTTTGTCGCCCTTCTCTGTACCTTCTCGATATTCTCGATTAATTTGATTGTTTGTGGAGACCATACTTGAGACGCATACGCAAAATTGTTGCGGACCAGTTGTAAGTAAAGGTACTTCCTCGCCCCGATGTCATGCATTTCCATTGTAGTCCGTAGTATAAATCCAAGCATTTTATTAGCTTTAGATCGCACCCTGTTTACTTGATTGATCCAGGTTAGGTTGGAATTCATAACAACGCCTAGATCAATTTCAGTGTTAGACAAAGCCAGTTCAGTTGACCGTCAAGACTATACGAAGTGATTAGCGGAGATGATTTCCTTGTGATAGAAAGTACTTTACACTTAGAATTGTTAAAACGCAACCTGTTTTCCTCTTACCAAGATTGGAGACTCCGTATATCTTCTTGTAAAACCAAGGCATCAGAAGGGTTCTGCACGGCTTTATAGAGTTTGGTGTCATCAGCGAACAAACCGACCCCAGTAGAGGAGGATAAGTGGTTAGGTAAGTCGTTTATGTAAATAGAGAAGAGGAAGGGACTCAATAATGATCCTTGTGGAACGCCAGATGTAATAGGCAAGGATTGTGATGTAGCTCCATGAACAGTTACCCGCTGGAAGCGTCCTGATAAATAATTTTGAAACCAGAGGAGAACAGAACCAGAGAAACCAAATTCACCCAGTTTTCGCAACAAGTTGGAGTGGTCAACAGTGTCGAAAGCCTTCGCAATGTCCATAAAAACAACGTCAGTTTGTAACCCCTTGTCCAAGTTCTTTCCAATAGTGTTTTTTAATATTGAAGCATATACTAGTCTAATTGTTTTAAAAACATGCCTAAGCCACGACAAAGTATTCAAGGTAAATGTTTTTCGTCTTTGTTTTGTATTTTTTTACATTTGTAGCTACGAAATTGGCGTCCCCAATTTTAACGAAATTTGGGATGCATTTTTCACTGTTTAGTGCTTGAAATATTTGCTAAAATTGACTAGGAATACTTAGAGATTTCATCGTAGAATGGCGTAGTTATATTTATTTGCTCTTTGACTAAAATGTTTAGCTGTATTATTGCTAAACATGCCGTTTTTGAAAATTTGGTTTGCAACTACAATCCTGGCAAAAATTATGTGGACACCTAACTTTTCTAACGCCAATATTAACATTGAGACGTTCTTTCATGAAATTTGTCGCCCCCTACCCCCTATTCAATGTTGTTTCGCGCATTTAAATTTGAAAAGTTTCATTTACCAACATTGAATTGGGGGAAGGAGGGAGAGAAATTTTCTGGGGATTAATTCTGTAGAAATACATCTATTTTTGTTTGAAGCACGCGGTGTCCACAATAATTTTTGCCAGGATTGTAGGTTTCAACATCCAATCACGCCATCAGCCCATTGAAAACATTAGGTCACGTCAGCTAGTTTCCTATCCATTTATTTTATTATCCATGATAAATTTAACCCAAAAGGTCGTAGTGATAGGGTCGAAATTTGATAATTTTACGGAGCGATTTGACTCGCTGCTCGCGCGCCAAGCGCGTCACGTCGAACATGTTGTCTGAACATGTTCGGTGTGGACAGTATACTCATGCAGTAGGATATTACCACAGAGTAGATAAGACATACAGAGACGTAACTGACCGTTGTATACACTGCGGAAGATTACGTTATCATGTACCCACTTTTTTTCAGGCGACCGGGCGAAAAATGATCAACTGCGCGTGCTCAGCAAGTTTAAAGTTAGTCGTCATCAGGACGTCATCCAATCAGATACACGCATCTAGTAACTTGCCGAGCATGCGCACAAAAAAGTGGGTACACTAGTTACGTCTCTGTATGTCTCTACTCTGTGATATTACTATCACTTTTAATAGTCTTGTTCTTCGGTCAGTAACATCATAGTTATATGGTAACATTTATTTATTATAGATATCGCTAAGCGCCTTGTTTGATTCTTGTGTAACACTATAACAGCTAGATTATACAGTCAGATATTTGCAAAATTTAAATCCACTAGCTTCAGCTTATGGCTATTTTGTGCCGCAAATATTGAGTCATTATCAACAACAACACCTAATAGTAATACTGTAGCTTTATACTTATAGTTTATAACTTAATTAAAACGCGCCGTTGTTAATTGCATTATTTCCTACTGTAATTGACTTAAAGTGCATATGACATGAAATTTCTTATTTTCTTAAATGAAAGAACTTTTTAATAATTAATTAATTAATTAAGTTGTAGTGTAACTTATTTTTCAGTTTCTTGTTTTTATGAGGCCCATAAGGCCGAAACGGTACCGTCTGTAGTTAGATATCGCTCTTTTGCACGCAGTAATAGAAGTGTTGTAAGATCAACAATCAACATTTAATTTTTAGTATGACATATTCATATTGTCGCTACAAGAAATAAAACAAACGTTTGTATGATCCATTTCACGCAGCCTTCTTCTATCTTCGTGAAAAATTCCCCCTCCCAGTCACGGTCCTGTTGCTTTGCCACGCGAGATTTATACCGGAATGTTTTGAAAGACTCGTAAGCAACATTTTACAGGGTGATAAAATGCTGCATTTCTTATATTTTGTTTACATATTTATTTTGATACCCTTCACAAAGGGGTCAATAGTGGAATCAAAATGGCTTGGATGGAAGAATAACATGGCCGAATTGTTGACAACCGACATGGGATGACAAAATGGCGCCGAATTGGACAAAGTTGTGGTTTTACCTTGTCGATGGTTAAACAGCTAGGATCTGCTTGAAACCTGTTTAAAACTTGTTTAAAATGATACCATTATGTCTGAGCTGCCGTACATATTTGGAAGAATTTCAACGAGATTGGCGATAAACAGCAGAGTAAAGTAGAGAATTTGGCCAAATAAGTCCATTTGCAGGAGGTAGGTACATTTCAAATTATTATTTCGGTCACAAAGTATGAACTATTTTACAGCAAAGCAGTGATAATATGCTTAAATAAGTACCAATTATGTTTCTATAAAAAAGATTTAGGAA